ATTATAAAATAAAGTTATAATCCCTAGAATAATTTTATTACATTTATCTTATAAAGTATTTTTAAAAAATTTTATTACCTAGTTTAAATACTCCCTCCGTCCCAAAATATTCACAACATTTGCTTTTTCAGCAGTCGCGGGAACTTTTGTTTATTTCTACGTTTTCATTGGTTATTTGATAAAATAAAATATTCTTGACACCTCTTATTTCGAAGAACTTTTCATGTAGTTTTTTGATATGTAAATTTTATTTTTTATTTCTATACCAATATGTAAATAAAATGAATTGAAAAAACTTGATATTTTGTCTCGGGAATACAAATGTGTCAAATATTTAGGGACGGAGGGAGTATTACTTTTACTTTTTATTTAATTATACATAAAAAATTGCAATCACATGCGGTAAAAGGTCAAAAATGTACTCCGAGGAGATTACAGTTTTTACGAATGACGAATGTCTGTCACAAGGCCAACCTGGAAGTGTAAAAAATGATATTCTTTCTGTGCCAAAATCACATGTTGGGCCCTATTTTATTTTTTATAGAGTATTTGTTTTAAGATAGTGCTAAATTTGATTCTTAATACGGAGTAACTACTTTTGAAACAAAATATTAAATTATAAATTTATATATTAAATTTAAAAATATCAAGTAATTAAAATAATAAATGTCTAATAAAATTATGCGCTAAAAATTTGGGAGTTCTGGTGGGTGGTCATCTTGCACATTCTCTGACATGCCAATGCTTTGTCATGGAATGAATTTTACAAAAGATTCTTTTAGACTTCTACTTAATAAAATTTAGGACTATTTTCTTTCTTATTTTTTACTATTTCAAAAAGTTAATAAATAGTACCCTTTTGTTCTCAAAATAAGAGCATCTCCAACCATAGCAAAATGACTTGCTATATGTTATAATTTGACAAGCATATACTCCGTACAAAATTTCATGCTCCAAGGAGTTATTCAAAATTTGACTAACTTGTTAAAAAATGAAAACAACTTGCTATTTATAACAAGCATGCTAGAATATAGCTAAACAAAAATTAATGTGATTTTCTTTTGCAATGATATATACTGTACATATACTCCGTAAAACATTTTTTTCCGCTGTGAATGTGATATTTTACCATAGGAAGAGTTGTTTGATTCATTTTATTTTAATTAGAAACATTTTGTTTTATATTTTTTTAATTACAAATATAAATAACTTTAATGGGACATAACCACAAGCTTGAACTTTTGATTGAATCAATTCCTTGACACATACTCCATATTTATTACTTTTGTTTTACATTTACATGAATAAATACAATTCAAGAACTATTGTATTTTATTGTATTACAATGGTTATTGGAACACAATAAATTTGTTAGTTACACCCTCCGTCCCAAGAAAATTACAGATTTACTATTATGACATCTCGATAACTCTTATTTGCTTGTGTGTTTTCATTGATCACTCTATAAAATAAAATAATCTTATCGGCTTTTGTTTTGTAGAGATTTTGATATAATTTTTAAATCCCCACGGTTCAAGTGACATTGCCCGGCAATGTCATAAGATGACCCGAGGGTGCTCCGGTGCCCCGTTCGTAAAATTGACGGTTCCTACCCCTATAATCCCCCCGGTAA